TTTATGTTCGAGGATAACCATTCTCGATAAGTTCATAGACAGACCAAAGATCTGGTGGAAATAATGGTGGATTTCAGATTTCAAATTTATTTATAAGAACTCGTTTAACTCTCCTAAGAACATAATTATTTTCAAAATATTGCACAATTTCTTGTGCATTTGAAGACATTGAGGCTTGATTTGATTAAATGAATCTGGGATTTCAGTAGATGGTAGAAATGCAAAAGCCGTATGATAACGTAATTTATACTAAACTCCTCATTATTATCATATTCATTTGATAATCCTGAAGTTTGATTTTTTTCCAAAGGTTTTGACATGGTGAATAAAGCAACCCTTATGAACGGATTCTGAAAATTCATCATTAATTACATTTATAACTGTCTGCTCAAAATCTGTAAGTACTAAAATTGGATTCAGGACTAGATCAGCTTCTTCACCTAGAGTTATTCAACGCTTGAAATAATTGAGTATAACTTTCTTCTGACTTATTTGTCATTAATGCATACACCATGGGTAAAACACACATTATTTTCACCACCAACTAATGCATGTATTATATACATTTTCTAAAATAGAATTGGTACCGTTTTGAAGGTTCCCATCCATAATCAAATATTCAGCATCTTACAAATGTTGAAGATCAGACTCTATGCAAAAAATTATTATTCTTTCTTTATTAAAATTTATATCTTTTGCTAAAATTTGTTTCCCATTAATAGTTGTATGCTATTTAATAGGAACATTAATTTCTTCTAATGATTGTGGCTATGCTGGCTTATTATTACTCCTAATACGTGAAAATTGCTTTACTAAAGCTTGTCTATTTGGCAGGTAGGAGTATGAACTTTGATGAATATTGGCGATTGGTTGATCATTTGTATTAAATGCTGATTTCTTAATTATATCAAGTGTTTTGGTTCGGCTTGCTTCGGGTGCATGGTTAAGTTGTTCAATGCATGACCTTCATCCTCTAAATCCGTTATAGCTCTTCCTTTGCAAGTATACTTTTTCTATATTCGCAACACCAGTAATATCTCTTATCATTAATTTTTCTTTTACTAATATATATCCATGTACAATAATCTTTGGATTTCCTTGTGTTGATTTAACTAAACTGCATACTTCACGACCTTTCATTACTCATTATGATTGAAATTAAAAAATCGAAGAGAAAAAAAAAAATATTTAATACTAGGGAATGAGGATCGTTATTAATCCGAAGTGTCACTAATCAAATATGTAATATAATGTTAAACTATAATAAAGAAAATAAGACGAATGAAAAAATTTACACTTTATTTGATAAAGAAATATTGTAATTTTACAATAATTGTAAATAGAATATCTATTACAAATAATTCTATTAATATTTTATTCTTTCATAGTAATAAATAACAACTATAAAAAAATAAAGAAAAAAAAAAATTTTAAAAGACCGAAATTAAGAGAGTGAAAATTTTCCATTTTAGGAACAATTTCTGAATGTTTTAAAATAATTTCGTCACATTTTAAAACAATCAAATATTTTAGATATTGTTTGGTGATCATGATCGGGAAATCGTACTGTAACCAAAATATGTCGATTACTGCGGTTCACGCCATTCGTTACACGAGCTTGATGTCAATAACGCTTGGTACCTAAATAAATGATTTTAACATGCGAAACAAATTAAGAGATGAATACAGTATATCAATTACTTTACCTGAATAACGTGACGAACACAAAATTTAACTTGATATTTTTTTAAAGTCCCTAATTTCTTACCTCTGTTGTTCCTGTTCCAAATTTCACAAACATGTTTAATCAATCAAACTTCATGAACAGTTGGATAGAAATA